GGCGCCCTTCCTCAGGGTGGTTAGCCAGCTACCTGGTGGCAGGTTCATTATATTGGACCACTAACCTCATGGAAGCAGCACTATTTTGTTCTTACTGGAAGAGACACTTATCCTACAAAAGGATTTGCACCCAGTACACAGTGCTTCTGCCAAAACGATCACCTGTGAACTTACAGTATGCCTCATCTACTGTCATGGTGTCCCACACAGCATTGCTTCTGTTCAAGGAACTCACTTCAAGGCAAATGAAGTGCAGTAGTGGGCTGTGCTCATGGAACTCACTGGTGTTACCATATTCCCCACCATCTTGAAGCAGCTGGCTTGACAGAACAGTGGAATGGCCTTCTCAAAATTCAGTTATAGCAGCAGCAAGGTGACCATACCTTGCAGGGCTAAGGCAAAGTTCCCCAAGAAGTCATGTATTCTCTAAATCAGTGCTCAATACATGACACTGTTTCTCTGATAGACAGGATTTACAGGTCCAGAAATCCAGGGGTAGAAATGAGAGTGGCACTATGCAATATTGCCCCTACTGAGCTAATAGCAAACCTTTCACTTCCTGTTCCCATGACCACATGCTCTGTTGGTCTGCAGGTCTTAGCTCCGAAAGGAGGAACACTTCCAGCAGGTCACACAACAACTTCGTTGAGCTGGACAATAAGACAACCACGCAGCCATTGCAGGCTCTGCATGCCTGAGTCAACAGGTAAAAAAGGGAGTTACTCTACTACCTGGGTGATTTTTTTCCTAATTAAGAAGGGTCATTGGACTTCACAATAGAGGTAAGGAAAAATATGTCTGGGATATAGGACATCCCTTGGGGTGTCTCTTAGAAATACCAATTCCTAGTTAGGCACGGTGGCTCATGCCTGTAATTCCAGCACTTTGGGAGGCTGAGGTGGGTGGATCATGAGGTCAGGTGTTCGAGACCAGCCTGGCCAACATGGTGAAACCCTGTCCTACTAAAATTACAAAAAATAAGCCTGGTGTGATGGCACACGCCTGTAATCCCATCTTCTCAGGAGGCTGAGGCAGGAGAATTGCTTGAACCTAGGAGGCAGAGGTTGCAGTGAACCGAGGTCATGCCATTGCGCTCCAGCCTGGCTGACAGAGCAAGACTCCGTCTCAAAATTAAAAAAAAAAAAAAAGGAGGCCGGGCGCGGTGGCTCAAGCCTGTAATCCCAGCACTTTGGGAGGCCGAGGCGGGTGGATCATGAGGTCAAGAGATCGAGACCATCCTGGTCAACATGGTGAAACCCCGTCTCTACTAAAAATACAAAAAATTAGCTGGGCATGGTGGCGCGTGCCTGTAATTTCAGCTACTAAGGAGGCTAAGGCAGGAGAATTGCCTGAACCCAGGAGGAGGAGGTTGCGGTGAGCCAAGATCGCGCCATTGCACTCCAGCCTGGGTAACAAGAGTGAAACTCCGTCTCAAAAAAAAAAAAAAAGGAAAAAAAAGAACTACTATACCCTCTGATAAAAGTCAATGGAAAACTACAACAACCCGATTTAGGCAGGACTACAAATGGCTCAGCTGCTTCAGGAATGAAGGTTTGGGTCATCCCACCAGGCAAAAAAACACACAACCAGCTGAAGTGTTTGCTGTGGACAAGAGAATATGGAATGAGTAATAGAAGAAGTTATTTATAAATATCAGGTATAATAAACATGACCAGTTGTTTAAATGAGAATAGTAGTTGCTGTGACTATGTCTTCATTTTTTTATGAATATGTTTGTGTGTGTGCATGTCTATGTGTGTAAAATCTTCGTTTTCTGTTTTCTTTTATCCCCTTGTATACTATAAGATGTATTAACTTTACACCAGAGTATTTAAATACTCAATTTTTTTTTTTTTTTTTTTTTTTTTTTTTTTTTTTTT